GCTGAGAAGGACACTATTAAGAAGACAGATGGTGGGATCGTTACTTTTGTAGGGAAGAGGAAAAAGCAACCATCACCAATGGATCACTGCTTGAATGTTGCTATACAGATAATCCATGAACGACAAAAGCACTCAATTAGTAGGTGTTTCTTCCTCACAACTGCTCTGCATTGGATATTTTAAGTCCTGATCCTCAAACCAGAGGGACAAAATACCTTCAAAAGACAAGTCTCAGAATTAGTATCCAGTAATGGTTTGAATTCTACGCTGAATTAATAAAGTTATTAATGTAATGGAATGCTACAATTGTTCTCACACACTTGCATTTGCCAACCCTGCACAATGTATCTCCATATGCTGATTTCTCTGGATGTCCAAGGGCTTTTCCATCTCGTATCTTCTGTCCTTATTAACAGCTCTGTTCCACAGGTACCTTTTCCTCTACCTGGTTTACATTAATTCTATTAATAGGTTAATCTCAGAGCAATTGTTTTCAACTTGCAATTAGCTTGAAATACTGATTTTGTTTCACACCTGAAAAACAGTTTTTGTCCCTGGATGTCTCTCTTCCAACCAATTATATCAATTGGTTTGACAAAAGGTATTACTCATGCCTAGAAAGACTGAATCATTTACACACTTATCCAACTCTCCTTCAACATGAAATTAATGTACTAAACATAAGGATAAAAGTGATCTATTCAACCACATCCATCAAAGATTAAAAAACTGTGTTGATGCTCAAAATTACCTATACCATCTTTTAAGAAAGGTTTCCAGGCACAGAATTGCTGAACAGAGTATTGTCCTGTAATGTCCACAATATTGCAGTGGAAACATACATCAAGTATGGATAAAGTGTTGCTCAACAGGTTTCATTTTCCTCAGCCCTCCACTTACCTTTTTTATTTTTCAGCTGTACTGGAAAGAGATTTCGGCCTTGCTTATAAATCAACAATCTTCCTAAAAGGCATAGCGAATGAACAAAATAGATGTACTGCAATTCAGGTCCAGTGTAAGAAAAGTTCTGCTTATCACCTTTAACAATAAAACCAAAAAATTAGAACTTGACTCTTTTAGTTTACTCTACAGTACCTAGCTACTACCTGCAATGTATGTAGATCATTTTGTATATAAAGACAGCCAGCTTAAGTAACTAACCACTGCTATTAGTGTTTTCTCAAAAGACACACATACAATATTTTGGGAAAAAAAAGAACAGATAGAATATCTTCCTCTTGAGGTAGCATGCTGAAAGACCTAGAGAATACGGATGTATATGCACATGATGCAAGACATGCGAAGATACTCACTACAATGCTGCTGGGAGAAGTCATTGACTCTGGAATTTTTATTAACTGCTGCCTTGCAAAATTCAAAATAATCAAGACATTGCTGGACAGCTGCAATAACCTGTGGAAAAAAGCACAAAATAATAAAATACCTTGTATTTTACAATAAAGTAATTCTCTGTTGTATCCAAGTACTGTCTTTTAACACAAGGACCTAAATATTCACTTCACTGCAATTACCTCATGTTTCAGTCCTTTGGATGGGTTAACCAACAGGAGGCAAAATTTTACAGGGCTATTAAAACACATTGCCATTATTATTACCTTATCACACTACCAGCTCTATAAGCATTAAGACAATCTATGAAAAAGAGTACAGAGAACATGCAAGTATTTTGAGAAGTTAATGTCAATCTGTGATTGCCATATTGTCATTACTATGGAAGATTTTCATTTTCCACACGTGAAAACCTTTGTCTTGAACTGTAAGTTTGGTTGTTGGGTGCTGTCAGTGCTACTACTGTTCTTTGCAGAAGTGCTGTATCATTATCATAGCATTATCACCTAATCAATGTATATAAATGTTTAAAAATTATCAGCATGGATTTAGAAATGAATCACAAATATTGTTCATATGAACAAAGAAGTACATTTAGATTTATTACAGTGTGCAGGTGCTAACATTGATTCACAAGTGTAAGTAAAATAGAGAGATATATGTAATAAAAAAAATATTTAATCGGATGTTTACTCTATGCTTATAAATTAGATTAGACTACCCTGCTCACAGACTTCCTATCATAAACTTTTTCTTGCATGGAACACGCTTTATTCTATGCATACAGATAAACAAGACAAACATCTTTTATAGTTGCCTGTATCCTCATCTCCCATCTTTAGGTTTCACCAGTCACATCTATTCTACATTCTATTTCATTTGTATTACAAGATTTTACAAAACAAAGCCAGAGTCCTGTCTATGTGAATGGGTCTGACATCTATATTCATCTTACTGAAAACAATGAAACTTCCATCCCAGTGAAGAGATCTGCCCATACAGAATATGTGAGAGGATTAACACCTACATTACTAACGATACTTTCCCCAGTGTGGTTTATTTTGCTGACACTTTGAATCCTTAATGCTTCCTATCACAACTTAAAGAACACAATGGTGGTTTGTTTGTCTCTTTCCATCAAATATCCAAATTCAGCATAGAGTTTTTATAGTATTTTTTCATGCACCATTTGCTATTTTTACATTGTCAGAAATAATTCTCAATATGAATGCAACATACGGAATTAATACAAAATAATCCTAGTTAACTACCTGCTATAAAACACCCAAATTTCCCCTTACTCAAAGCTGGTCACATACCCGCCTTTGCATTTAACAATGATTCATTTAAGCAAAGAGAAATTGGAAAAAAAAAAATCAAAAATGCTCATCCAGCTAAACAACAAGGAACAGCTCTGACAAAATGGAAAAAAGGAAAAAAATATGCTCAAACCACAATGTGCAAATGAAGAACAAGTTCCAAGTAAATTTGCCTTGGGAAATACTTACCAAAGATTTATATTTCTTTTCCAAAAGCCTAAGTACCACTGTTCTGCTGTAATACGCATGCTAAAATGACAAAGAAGAACTAATGTCAACTTCAAACATCTAAGTTTTATTTTTTAATTAAAAAGTAGAAATCATCTCCAATTCTGTTCTATTAGGGATCCTGTGCACAGTACATATTCAATGTATTGAACTCCAGTTTGTGTAAACCAGTATTATAGGCAACCGAGCCTTTTGTTTGCAGTACATTTAAGATAAAAAAAATGATGTCATTAGAAGAACGTGTAGCAGAACATGCAATAAACAGAAATAAACAATAACGACACTGAAATGTTAGACTACCTGTTTTGACATTGCCATGTAAATCCTAAATTATAAGTTTATACATGGTAGGCTGCAAAAAGCTCTAATGTCCACTGGAGGTTAGCAAGTTGTGTGCAGCATATCATACATATAACTGTACTTTCATGCTCACTGGTTCTTCCAGAAAAATATTTGCATCATTTGCTGGCTGTCAGTCAATTACCACAAAGGGACTGAAGTCCCAAAGCGCAGTAAGTTCTCAGAAATTTTACGAAAACTAGTAACTGAGTAGAAATGGAGGGGGAGAGTAGTGTTAAAGGGCAAAGGACATAAATGCCTAAAAAACCCCCAGACTTCCTTAATTGCAGTATTCGTTATAGGTTGTTATCAGGTCTCAATAGGTCTGCGATAATAATAGTCATAAATCAAACTTTTCAAAATACATGTCAGACATGAACAAGTTATGTGTTGTTGGGGTGGGGTTTTTTTGCTTACCGTCCACTTTTTAAACCATATTGCTTTGATATCTAGCAGAGCCAAGAAGTAGATTGGACTCAAAAAATCTGGAGAGGCAGGATGATTAGGCTCATGTTTTACTGACAAAAGTGACAAGGTACTCTCCACTACTTCTTCCATGTACCTTATGACACAAATAGTAAAAAAATGAACAGAAAACAAGAGTCTGTTAAATCCACCAATAATGCTCAGGAACAAATTTCTGGTAAAACCTCATTGTTCAGGTAAATCATAAATATCAACAACATTATCTTTAACTTGATCCTGTAAGGATATTCTTTGTATTACCATGAATAGAACTAATAACAACATATGTGTGTTTTCTCCAACATGATTACATATTTGATTACACTTGTTACTTTGTAAAACATCAAAATGATTTTTGTTAAAAAGCACTTAGAACACTTCAAAAGTTAAGTAAGCAGCTTAATATGACCTATGACTACTCCTATACAACTTCCATATTCCACTTTTCCCAGCCTCTATTTATATTCCCCCGCCTTATCACTGACCAGTCATCTGTGCATCCTGTAATCAACCTTTTGCTAAAATTACATGCATCTAATTATATGTCAAAAATCATTAAATTAAGAAACAGTGACAGGTTTTTGAAGGTGACATACTTTTCTGGATGACGAATCCAGGAAGAGGGAGCTTCCTTTTGGTACTCATTTAAAAGGCGGACCTGAAAACATAATTATTAAAATTAAAAAATAAATAATGCATGATGCTTCAGTAATGACAAAAGAAAGTATGGAAAGTTCAGTTATACCTTTTTAAGTAAATGATTTATATCTGTGTTAGATACATCCAGGCCAGCTGAAATACGAAGAGAATATTCTCCAGAAAGAAAGTACAACTCCAAGTGTCTTGCTAAAAAAGAAGGGGAAAAAAAAAAAAGAAACCCTCACCTCCATGACAATAGTGGCAAAACAGACTTATTATACAGCTTCATTATAAGAGTTAACTGATTTTCAGGAAGTACATAACTCACAAAGTCTTAATTTAAGTACTTAAATGCACATACCCAAACTTGTATAGACTTCTCTTGTCATATTAAATGGAGAAGAACAAAAGGTTTTTGCATAGAATCTAAGAATTTTCTCCTGAGAGAGAAAAAGTAAGCAATGTATTAAATAGTCATGTAACTGTGTATTATTACTGCACAATAATCAATATGCAGTGGCATTATTCTTAATATTACATATTGCTTGGATATCTCTACAGATGTGAAGCATATTTTATAAAAATATACAGTTTGAGATCACAGAAACCTGCAGTCCAAAGGAAATTTTACTTGAATACTTTAACTGACAGCACCAATGCAAAGTCTCATGGAGATACAAAGAAGGAGATCAGGGAATATTACTGTGCTTTTCCACTTAACATTTTTATGTTATTAAATGTACCAATGACTTGTAACTAGCAGTGTTTCAAGCGGAACTGTAGACCTTCTGAGCTGAAAGAGAAATAAATACATGACAGCAGCTGGGGCAACTTTCATATTTATTTGATAATCACTTTAAAATTCAAAGAAAAAGAAAAAAAGGCTTAATTGGCATAACAAATAATATAAAAGCAGTTTAAGCAGCTTTTCCTCATCAGTGCCTGTGTAATATTACTACTATCATTTTCTCATCATCATGAAGCATATACTTGACTTAAATAGGAAATAGTAACATACCATGTTTTACAGAAGAGTTTTGTCAATTTTTTTTTTACATCTGTTTGCTAAAAGACATTCAAACCTCTTAATTCCCATTAAAAGATATGTAAATGAGTACTCCAGTCTCTAAAAATCCTATTGAAACCCTGTTGTAATCCTTTAAATCAAGATGTACTGGAATCATATAGTTCTTTTACATCAAAAAGTTTATCTGATACATACACAAATAATAAAATGTCTTGGGACACTGCTGGACTACTCATAATACATATGTAACTTCTTATTCCTCTTCAGTACTCTTTACTAAGGCTACATATCTGATAACTAAATACAGAACATTAGCTTACACTGAATGTTGCATCAGGATCTGACAGAGACATCGTTAGATGCTTACGCAGATTTGGCCAGCTCTCAGAGTTCAGTATATCAGAGGGAGGGGCAAAGCACAGTGTCTGCAATGCTTCTTGGCGAACCTGAAATAGTCAAAAAGATGAACACCACAAATCCGTTCACAGCAACTTCTCAAATACGTAATTTACAATATAATTTGGAGGAAGGAAGGAACAGGACCTCGCTGTAGAACTGATAAGAACTGTTTACACCAGTTCCCATCTACCATGCCGTTTTCAACTGCCAGACAATCCCAAACAAATCTTACTGAGACAGCACTCTCAAAATGATGTTTCTCCAAGCTGCACTGAAGCCAAGATATATGAACCAACAAAGACAAGATTCCACTGAGGCACATATGAACTCTTATGTACATAGAGTCTGTTTTCCAATATGCCATAAATACGCATTTGTATTAACATTTTACTACTTCTTTCAAACTTACTTCCTTAGGCTGAATAGGGTCAAGCCTTTCTACAAGCAGCTGCAACTGTTCTTGACTCATGAACGTATAACTCTGTAATACACATTATAAAATGATCATTAGAATATTTTATTAAACTGAACAGCAGAAGATTAAAATCATCAGTCTTTCTGATATCTAACTTACTTTTAATAATTAGGACTTCAACATTTATACTAATTTAACATTAAAGTCAACATTGTAAATGTTTTCTGCTGTCTACCCAAAGCTGAATTTACAGCAACAAAATTCTCATTATATATTTTGCTTCGCTTTACTTAAAACTTTCCTGTATCTTCATAAAATCCCTTATAAGAATTCATTCCGTAAGTAATATAGCATAGTGCAGTAGTCTGGAAATGAACTGCACATTACTTGGCTCCAAAAGTAAAATCACAGTAAGTTAGATGATGTATTGCTTTTACCATTATTTTATCTTTTTCTATGCAGTACTTGCATAGGTACTTTAGAGCATATGGGCATCATATTCATCTCGTCTAGCATATGCTGCCTAAAAGTTAGACAGCTAGTGTAAGCTTAGTACTTCAGAGTGAAGGAAAGATAATTAATTCAGTTTAGGATATATCAAAGATAGGAAGGATGAATGTTTTTCTAGGGCTGCTTCTCAATCGCCACTGCCAGAAGGTTAACCATTTTGCAGTACCATGCTTAACACAGAGAGAAAACACACTGTACTTGGTTCAACGAGGAGTCACTGTCAGAACAGTTGTCTGTATAATAGCCACTCTGACGTTCTTTCTTTGTTTTACTATCCAGCTCCTTATTACGTATCCGATCTTCTTCAAACTTGTTAATCAAAGATTCTACCACAACCATCATGACATTCTTCAAGGCGTGCATCATTTCCCTGTATCTTCAAAGTAAAGATGATTTCAATATTAAAGAGCATAAAAACCACTAATTTAAAAAAACCCACTAAATCGTGAATAACTGAATATGGCATAATGCTACTTAGACCTGAACTCACTGAATTTACAGAAATGAATGAAAAACAAATGCAAATTCAAAATGAGCAACAAAACATGTTTGTTCCTTAAATGTTTCAGATAACTATATTTTTAAATTATACTAAAATTCTTTTTTGCCCTTCTAAAACCATTCAGTGAAATACCACTACCATAATCATGTTCTGGGAGGTTGTTAAGAAAGAACGATGTGGATCCACCAGAAGGGAGAATCTGACCCTGAGAAAACAGGCCAGTTCTCATCCTTGTTACTGTTTATGTTTCTTCAAGTTCAACATGCAATTTTTCTTCTGCTATAAGCCTCGAGCAGAACCAATAGAAGAGAACACATCATCCTGATTCAGGATCTTGAGTATAGGTCATGCACACAAAGTAATTTTCCTTCTACAAGACCAGGGTTTTTCTAAGTTACATAAATTGAATAATAATATCCACAAGGAAGCAATTCAAAATAAAAGCTGGTTCAGAAAAACATGCTATTGTAAAAAGTTGATATTTTATTTCAAATTATTTTTTACTTTAAGGCTACTATTACTTATTTTACAGTCTCCAAAGACATAAATTACCACATCGTGCTTTAATATCCTCCTACCTCTCAAATTAAAAATATAAGATACAGACATATTTAGTTCATTGGAGCTTCTTCTACCAACTTTAATGAGCACAAGAACCCTAAGGTCCTGATCCTTGAAACAAAAATACACAAACAGCATAATCTGAAAAACAGTCATCCTAATATCTATTTTCTATGTGAAAATAAAAGCCAAGTGTAGTTAAGAACTGCTTTCTAACATAAATGACCATACTATGAAAATACAGAATGTATCACTAAAGTGTTAAATCCCTTAATACATTTTTCTCCATAAATACCTTTAAGCATACTACCTACCACAGAAAAAGAGTAATTGCAATGAACAAAACTAGAACCTTGAATGATCCTGAAATGATATCAAGACCATCACAGTGAGACCCAACAATGCTTGATCAGAGTTCAGAATGCTTGTAGACAGGTAACAAGGACCCTATAAAAGCATGGTTCATAAAACATATTTCTGTGTACTTCTAGGTAAGAAACCTCCTAAAAACAAACAGAAAATAAAATCTTCTAGAACAGAAACATACACTATTTTTTAATTCCTTTCTTACTGAGGACACGCAGTAAACAATAGACATCACGGTAAAACACTAGTTCCACTAAAAGGAAAGATGGAGATGAAGTTAAGATTGTGCAGTAAAAATGGGGCGGGGGG